CAGACGTGTTTTTCATTTTTTCGAAAATCACTTTCGTTCGCGATTTTTGGGGATTTTTGTATTTTTTAAAAGGCATTTTGTCCAGCAGTTTTCTCGAGAACGGCTAAAGATAAGAAAGTGAAACTCACTGAGGTGATAGAACATCGAACTCTGTTATGGGCAACGACCTTTATTTTTCGTCGTCGGCACTTCCGGTCGCAAACGGAAGTGAATTCAAAAAGTCCCATTTTTCAACTTTTTTGTTTTTCAATATTTTTCTTTAGGATTTACAGGGTTTATAGTGTGTCTTATGAGAATTTTAAATATGTGTTCAGTATCTTAATGCGTGCATAGATTGAAACGATATGACCGAACCAAACTTTGTCCCCTGTCGGGGGTTCGAATCCCGCTGTGGGCGTTGCAAAAATTTTTTCTTTGTTTTTGTCTTTTTTCTTTTGCAAATTACTTTTCTCTCTTTTATTACATGTATGGAAGATTTTGCCGAATTTTAAAAGCTATATTTTGAGATATTTTGTGAAATAATTATATTAATTATGATCTGTGTTGAGAGACTACATTAAATGAACGTAAACGAAAAAAAAATACATTCTGATATCTATTTCTTGTGACGACACAGCATAGAACTCTAAAGAAAAGTGGGTCGGAAGACCTGCTTGTTGCTCTAGCAACAAGATCGCATCTAGTTATTATTATTTTTCTTCTTCCTGGGCACTTTTTTGTCCGCGAATGATCTCGTTAACTATACACCCGACTAAGGTGAAATGTTTTAAGGGTCAGTAGACATGTTATGTAGATTTGCGGAACGAAGGTCATTTTGCGCGCACGTGCTTGCAAGAGCGCGCACGTGCAACACGAGAAATGATCAATATAATAAATATAAGCGTAACTTTTTACATTTTTGATGAAATGCTTTGAAACTCATAATATTAGGATATATTAGTAACACAGACAATATGACATCAAATAGCTTCAAAATAGCAAGATCTCACACGCATGCACGTGCGCTTCGCTCTGATTGGCTGAAAATAAAGTCTCAATATCTTTCTTGTTTTTTGACCAAATCCCTTGAAATTTTGAACATAGCCATACAGTAGGATATCCTACAACATGATATATAGCAATTATCATGAAAACACGTGCATGCACGTGCACTGCAATCTGATTGGCTTAAACTTTAAATAGATATAACTCCCTTGATTTTCAACCAAACAGGATGGGATTTGGAACATAGATAGATATAATGGACCTCTACAAGAAGGTATGGTCAACACGCACATGCATACACGTGCATGTACATGTGCTGCAATCTGATTGGCTGAAACTTTAAACAGCTATAACTCCCTTGGTTTTCAACCAAACAGGGTGGGATTTAGAATATAGATAGATATAGTGGACTTCTACAAGAAGGTATGGTCACCATGCTCATGTATGCACGTGCGTGCACGTGAAATGAGTAAAATAAAAATACATTTGAATGAGCGTATTTTTTTTATACATTTGGATTAAATACTTTAATATTTAGTATATTAAAATATATATATTGTGTAGACAATATGATATGGTCATTATGCACATGCATTCACACGCACACGCGTGCAATGCTAAAATTTGAATGAACTTGGTACACTTCTGGGTAAACGTTGTTAAAGTCTCAAATGCGTAGATTTTGTCTTATTTAATAATTCTTACAGGGGATATGGCACCAAAAGGGATTTGAGGAGCGTTTGGGGAACATCTGTAACGGTCCCCGTTACAATTAGCACTAGTTAAGGTCTTCCGACTTCCTTCGGAAGACCTTATTGTTATTCGTCTGTTTTTTATTATTATTATTAAGGTCTTCCGACTTCCTTCGGAAGACCTTATTGTTATTCGTCTGTTTTTTATTATTATTATTATTATTCTTTTTTTCATAGTTAGGGCGATATCTCAGCTGTGCGTGGACGGATTTGAAAGATTTTTACAGGGATGATGCATCATGAAAATATCTCCAGACGTGTTTTTCATTTTTTCAAAATTCACCTTCGTTCGCGATTTTTGGGGATTTTTGTATTTTTTAAAAGGCATTTTGTCCAGCAGTTTTCTCGAGAACGGCTAAAGATATGAAAGTGAAACTCACTGAGGTGATAGAACATCAAACTCCGTTATGGGGAACGACGTTTATATTTCGTCGTCTGCACTTCCGGTCGCAAACGGAAGTGAATTCAAAAAGTCACATTTCTCAACTTTTTTGTTTTTCAATATTTTTCTTTAGAATTTACAGGGTTAATACTGTGTCTTATGAGAATTCTAAATATGTGTTTAGTATCTTGATGCGTGCATATATTGAAAAGATATGACCAAACCAAACTTTCTCCTACCGTCGGGGGTTCGAATCCCGCTGTGGGCGTTTCAAATTTTTTTTTCTTTGTTTCTGTCTTTTTTCAGCTTCAAATGACTTTTATATCTTTCATATCACGTATGGAATATTTTGCTGATTTTTAAAAGCTATTTTTTGAGGTATTTGAGGAATACCTGTAATTATCATGATATATGTTGAGAGACTGTTGTGAATAAACGTGAGCAAAAAATACATTCTGAAATCTATTTCATGGGATGACGCAGCATAGAACTCTAAAGAAAAGTCGGTCGGAAGACCTGCTTGTTGCTCCAGCAACAAGAACGCATCTAGTTTTTCTTCTTCTTCTTCCTGGGTACTTTTTTGTCCGGGAATGATCTTGTAAACTGTTCGTCTGATGTAGGTAAAACCTTTTTAGGGTAAGTAGACATGTTATGTAGATTTGCGGAATCAAGGTCATTTTGCGCGCACGTGCTTGGAAGAGCGTGCACGTGCAACACGTGAAATGACCGATTTAATTGATATAGGCATAACTTTTTACATTTTTGATGAACTGCTTTAAAACTCATAATATAAGAATATATTAGAAGTATAAACAATATCGCATGGTCAAAATAGCAAGATCTCACGCGCATGCACGTGCGCTTTGCCCTGATTGGCTGAAACTAAAGTCTCAATATCTTTCTTGTTTATTGACAAAATCCTTTGAAATTTTGAAGATAGCCATGCATTAGGATATCCTACAACATAATATATAGCAATTATCACGAAAACACGTGCATGCACGTGCGCTGCAATCTGATTGGCTGAACCTTTAAATAGCTATAACTCCCTTGGTTTTCAACCAAACAGGATGGGATTTAGAACATAGATAGATATAACAGACTTCTACAAGAAGATATGGTCACATGCACATGCATACACTTGCGTGTACGTGCGCTGCAATCTGATTGGCTTAAACTTTAAACAGCTATAACTCCCTTGGTTTACAACCAAACGGGGAGGGATTTAAAACATAGATAGATGTAATGGACTTCTACAAGAAGGTATGGTCAGCATGCTCATGTATGCACGTGCGTGCACGTGAAAAGAGTAAAATAAAAAATACACTTGAATGAGCGTATTTTTTAAATACTTTTTGATTAAATACTTTAATATTTAGTATATTAAAATATATAGATTGTGTAGACAAGATGATATGGTCATTACGCACATGGATTCACATGCGCACGCGTGCAATGTTTAAATTTGAATGAACTTGGTACACTTCCGGGTAAACGTTGTTAAAGTCTCAAATGCATAGAGTTTGTCTTATTTAATGAAGGTTACAGGGAATATGGCACCAAAAGGGAGTTGGGGAGCGTTTGGGGAACATCTGTAACGGTCCCCGTTACAATTAGCACTAGTTTTTTCTTATTTTATAATGCAATATCTCAACTCAAAAATTGACCTAGTTTCGTATCAAATGTAAACACACCGCCATCTTGTCCGAATATATATTGCATGATACTGTACTTAGTTTACTTAATACCCAGAAGCAGAAAAGATTTTAAAAGAATAAATGCATTTTCACTATATAATCAACAGAGCCCGCCCTAACACAAGAACCCCTGACCCTGGGACCATTTTGGAAGAGGCACTCTTGCTCATCAAAACTATGTACTAAGTTACTTTATTTAATACCCAAAAGCAGAGAAGAAGATTTTTAAAGAATAAATGCATTTTCACTATATAATCAATAGAGCCTCGCCCTAATTCCAGAATCATTGTCTCTACGGCCATAAAATTCACAATTCTGGAAGAGGCACTCTTGCTCATCATAACTATGTGCTTAGTTACTTTAATATCCAGAAGCAGAGAAGAAGATTTTCAAAGAATAAATGCATTTCCACTATGTAATCAATAGAGCCTCGCCCTAATTCCAGAATCACTGTCTCTACGGCCATAAAATTCACAATTCTGGAAGAGGCACTCTTGCTCATCATAACTATGTACTTAGTTTACTTAATACCCAGGAGAAGAGAAGAAGATTTTCAAAGAAATAATGCATTTTCACTATATAATATATATAGCTCGCCCTAGCACTAGAACCCCTGACCCTGGGACCATGAATTTCACAATTTTGCTCAATGCTCATTACATACATGCCAACAGTTTGCCTGCTTGATGTCCAGGAGTAAAGAAGAAGATTTTTAAAGATTGCACTAATTTCAGTGGTTTTGGCCCCACTCTTCAGGCCCCAGGGGGCAGGGACCATGAAATTCACAATTTTAGTTCCCCTTTACCCATAGATGCTGTATACCAAATTTGGCTGAAATTGGTTCAGCAGTTTCAGACTAGAAGATGAAAATGTTTAAATGTTAACACACGATACACGACACATGACGACAGACTAAAACGGATAGCAATAAGTCACCTGGGTGACTCAGGTGACCTAAAAAATTTGATATATCCTAATTAGGCCTCAAACATATAGCAAACAACTCTTCATTCTCTGTTCTTTTGTAAGAAACAAACTCAAAAGTGAAGGCCATATTCTTTATACTGAAGCTGACCACAGCTGACTTTTTACATAGTTACTTGTCCTTTGGTGAATTATAGGTTCAAGTGCCAATTTACAACCAACTTGAAATACAAAAAGTTAATATAAAAAAAAAATACAAACGCTTTATCTTTGTGTGTCCTGCTTCTCTGTGCTTTTCTGTCTCGTCAATGATTTTGGATTCCCATCTGCTATCTAATTTATTTTTTAGAAGTTTCTGCTTTTTCTGAATAGCCCTCTGTATACACTGCATTTTCATCTCACTGGCAACCACTAGGTCTGTCAGGCCCTGGGGTAGAAATTAAATTTCTTAGCTCAAAGCTTAATATCTGATAAAAGAATTCTCGCTACTTTATAAACATTATTGTAAATACTTTCTATATGTATGCCGAACTGCCCAGTCTGATGTAATGTTTATTTCCTGATAGGGAACGTCTAAAATATGGATTTTGAATTTTTATCACATGTTCATGGACACACGCTGTGTTTCTATACATATAATTATTGATTACACTCTTAAATTATTTTGTATCATTTTGAATTCTAATTAATCTCCATAGATTTTATTGCACATACTTATATACACCAATTACAAATCAATTGACTAAATATATATGCATTCCAATAAATTCAAGATGTTTGAATAAATATTTTGTGTCTGCATGACAATGTTTCAACCATATTTACATAATTTATGATTGGGTTTGTCGATGTCACTATTGCTGTCGATTTTTGAAACATACTTCAATTACGATTAATATTTTCATTCTCTATTTATCCACAGGTACTTGTGGACAGGACCCCCCCCCCCTCGATATTCAACCTCGGGGCTTATTTGACATTTCTTTCACAATTTATATTAAGTACACTTATTCAACATGTTTGCAATAGGAATAAATCATCAAAACCCCAAAATAATCGCTCCACAGAAAATACCCCACTATACAATACAAGAGAGAAAGGAAACAACTCCGGTTTGTTTATGTTGTACCAAAACATATTTATTTCATTTTCACCTAAAATGTCGGTCTACACTGTCTACATATATTTCTGTCTACATATATTTCTGTCTCAGTCAATGCTATTGATTTGACTCTGCATCTCGTAAGAATCCCACATACAGCACTCCAGTAAGAATGTTGAAATTTCATTAGGTAAACGCAACGGAAGTGCTTAGAGAATGTTACACTTATTAGAATAACGTCCGAGAGAGTTTTTGCCTGATGTAATAATCACTCTCGGGTGTTATCATAACAGGTAATAGGCACTTCCGTTGCATTTACCTAATGAAATTTCAACATTCTAACTGGAATGCTGTTTGTGGGATTTTTACGAGATGCAGATCGAGTCAATTCGATAGCATTGACTGAGACAAAAATATATGTAGAGACAGTATGGACCAACATTTTAGGTGAAAATGAAATAAATATGTTTTAAACCTAGAAAGGCCAGTGGGGGTACAACGTAAACAAACCAGAGTTGCTTACCTTTCTCTCTTATAATGTATAGTGGGGTATTTTTTTGTGGAGTGATTATTTTGGGGTTTTGATGATATATTCCTATTGCAAACATGTTGAATAAGTGTACTAAATAGAAATTATGAAAAAAATGTCAAATAAGCCCCGGGGTTGAAAAATGGGGGAGGGGGTCCTGTCCACAAGTACCTGTGTATTTATCAAGAGATACTTAAGGTAATAGAAAATGGTGATAACCAATTTATTTGTGATATATCAAATTTTTATTTAGCTTTGACTTGTTTTATTACGAAAACACAATTTAAAGTCTGTGAGCCAATGCTCACAAGTAATATCCGCACTCTGATGTGAATATATACTTTCATGTTAATATACCCAAGTCCAGTTACTGACAGACACAAATAAACGGGAAGTTGATATCAAATTCATACAAAAGGAATCCCACCATATGTCATGTCTCAACAAAGTATACATGTGCTAAACTTTCAAGCATCTGCCATGAGTGGTTGCTGAGAAAACTGAAAATTTGATATGTAGGGTACGGATAGACACATGGATAAACAGGAAATTGACTTAGGATTTGAAGATTCAAAGTACTGAAAGTACTGTTACAAGTTGATGGTATTGTTTGCTTGTTTGTTGTTTAATGTCTCTCTTAAGAATTTTCACTAATATCATATAGAGAAGCCACCACTTGCCCATGGAGAGCTGAAAATTTTGTCCTATACTAAGTGTAACTTTACAACCATTGAACAGTGAGGAGTCTTTTTTATGCCATCACCTACTGCAAGACGTCCCGGACCTCGGTTCATACTGTCATCTGAAAGACCCTCCATATCCCACAATAGGATTGGAACCTGAGACGCAAGGATCAACTCATAACTTTGAGCTCTAGAGCATAAGCTCTACCCACTGTGTCACACAGGTGACTTCATGGTATTGAATAAATGTTTAAATAAGTTGAGGTCTCTGATCCAGATTTTGGTTATGTGTGTTATGTGCAATGATGAAAATATCAATTTCAAGTTTTTACTTAACTTTGAGGTACAAATTAAATTATATCATTTCATTTGCATCTTTTCACTATATTTTTAACAGTTATTCTTTTTTCTGTTTCTTTTCTTTTCTACATATTTACTTGAATGTATAATAATTAATCACAAATTAGAAACAAATATTACTAGATAGTTTTGGAATTTTTCGCGAAATGACAATTAAGCTTGCATTAAAAGGAATTTGTTCATTAACAAAATATTAAAGAGTAACCATTGAAATGGTTACAGGGTACAGAATATTTTAATAAAAAGTTAATTTTAAAACTATTGGAAAAACTTTTAGACACTTGATATCTTTTGACAGAAAAAACAAAAACAGCTTTTCACACAAATACAGCAGCGGATCATCATATTATAAACAAAATGGCGTCGTCGTGTTATTAGCAACATACAGATCCGGTAAATACAAAAAAACGACTTCCGCATTATAGATTGGAATAAATGAAATTTACCTAATATTTTGTTGCATACCCCTTTGATCTAATAATCTTGATCATTTGTTGTGGAAGTGATCTGTAAAGGTTCCATATATAAAATGAATGGGGATGGAGGTCCATATAGATAGTTTTCGATGGGGCTAAATTTAGCAAGAGTTATTTCCCGTTGGCCACCATACTGGAGGTCCACATGCTCATATTCCTCCATTGTTCAACCAATTTTAAATTATAATATTTGTTAATTTGAATTAAGAATCATCATTTTTCTGAAGTATATACATTTTTGGAAGCCGCCTTTATTCAAAAAAAATTATTTAATAAAGATTTTCCACCAAATATTTTTACTATATATTCTAAAACTTGGCAAGACAAAGAGAAAAACTCAACGATTCAACCTCCAATATGGCGGCCAATGGGAGGTAACTTTTGCTAAATTTAGGCCCATCGAAAACTATCTATTCTCCAGATTTCTTGTTCTAGATTCGATGCATTGGTAATTCTGTTTGCACATTTCCTAAGCTGATTTTTCAACAAAAACCAAGAGTGTTCAATTATGTTAGCATCCGGAGATTTGGCAGGCCACAAAATTCCTCGAATATTATTTTCAGTTTTGTAATTTACCACAATCCTTGCACAATGCACTGGCGCATTGTCGTCTTGAAAAATAAAGTCATTCCGTGGAATATGCTGGTCAACAACTGGCCACAGTTCATTATCAATTATTTCCCTGTACTTTTCAGCATTGATATTGCCATTGACAACTGTCAGGGTACCTGGTCCATTCCAGCAGATACACTCCCAAATCATTAGACTAACCCTTGCGCCACGACCGGGACTAATGCATTGTGGTATCCACTCCTCTCTGGGTCTCCCCCACACATATACATGATTATTTTCTCCAATGATCACTTTACATTCATCAGAAAAAATTACACTATTCCAGTCACCATCAACTTTCTAATGTCTTTTCCCCCTGGCCCACTCTACTCATTTTTTTATGTTTAACATCTCGGATTCGTATGTTTTTTCTTACAACTCATCTGTGGTATTTATTTTGGAACAAACATCTTTTTACAGTTACTTCTGAAAGAGTATTTCCCCAATACTGGTTGAATCTGGCAGTGATATATTCCACAGGTTTGACACGATGTGATTTTACTAACCTCAAAATGGATTGTTCGTCCTGCACACTAAGTTTTTTTCTTTCTCCTGTTCTAGGCTTATATTCTCCATCAAACCTTTCCTGATATCGCTTTATGACTGCACAAACTGTGCATCGATTTAGTCCTAGGCACTTTGCAATTTCTGATTGTTTTGTTCCACTCTGAAAACTATTTATGAAACTTTGTTTTAAGCTTGGTGATAAATCTTTCGCTTTTCAGATTCTCTGTTTACATACAGAATGACGCAATTTATTGCATCACAAACATGATACATCATATCTTATTATAACATAATACGACATTTTACCCAGTTATGTGCCTTTTTTATTTAAACATGCATACTGACAGGAGTTACAGGTAAATAAAAGTCCATTTCTTTTTAACTGCAATGGGGACGCTATTTTGTTTATAATATTATGATCCACCACTGTATCTAAAACTTAGAGGACCAACCTTCACTTATATTACAAACAGGGAATTATTACTTTCAAAAAATAGCACAAATTGAAATATTCACATTCGCTGTGTTTTTCTCTTAAGCCAACTATGAAATTGATTTGAATACCATTTTCGTGTACATGCCTAGAAATAAACACGGAGAAACGTGCATTAACGTGACGTCACAATAAACCTACAGCAACATAAGTAAAGTATAACGATATAGGGCAGCAAGAAATTAAAATACTTAGAATATTTTTGGTGCTTCCAAATATGTAAAATTTAAATATAAGGAATGTTTTTTAAGTTTAGTGTGAATTATTGGTGTGTGAATCACACAGACTTGCACTTAGGCATATTTTTCATGAAGCGCTAGTGCCCGTCATGAAATATGCATATGTGACAAGTCTGTGTGATTCACACACCAATAACTCACATGAAACTTAAAAACATTCCTTAATTATATCACCATATTATATAACTTTGTGAAATTCGGTAATCTGATTGGTAAATACGAAGTTATTATTTTTTTATCATGACCGCTGAAAGTGATCAATGACTCGTATGAGCTGCCTCATTTTCACTTTCACTTCAATCAAACATGGATACGAAAGCAAGTTTGGGAGTTGTGAGGAAGATTTAAAAGATAGTGAACTCTGAGGCTGAGAATACAAAACGATGAACTAGGATATCTGTTAACATTTTGCGAAAATACTTAGCA